CCCACTCCCCCTCCCTTAGGTCCAGGTGGATGCAGTTATTTTGTCGATGGCAGAAAATCAGTTGAGAGCAGCAAAACCAAGACCTGGGGTGGTTTTTCAGTAGCTCTTGGGCCTGTTGAAGGGACACACTTTTATTTGCAGGAGCATGATGTTGCCGGTGAATAGGAGGCATTTGGGCGATTTGGTTGCTTCACCAAGTTAAACGTTATGTTTGAACCTTTTTGTATTCACAACCTCCTGTCACTCAGTCAGCCAGTGAGCAACCAAAGTCACCAAATCCAGAGGAACAATCTGGATGTGGCCGTTGACATTCACATCAGCCTGGTGCAGATGCGGCAACATGCAGCCGCATCTCTGGCGGAGGGCAAGGAGTTTGGACAAGTGATGCATGATGCGATTGAGGCCATCCAAAAAGAGAGAGCCACAGCAGGCACCCTGAGCCACCGATCGCAGCAGATGTGTTGTGCTGGAATGGGCGTCTTCTGCCATCAGTTTCTGTGAAGTGGCCATGTTGAACCATGTTGCAGTTGGCAGTACTTTGACAATGTATGTCATGAGATGCTGTCCCCTGTCCCCCTTCGTCAGGTGCTGTGAAGTTGCGTTTGCGTTTCCGATCCTTCTTCAGAAACAAGTTCACGCGAACAGAGGGCAATCTGGACAAAGCCATCCAAGATTGGACGAGGGTTCGGCAGGAGAAAGACTCCTTCGCAGGAAGGGTCAGAGGTGTGGGGCTGGCTGCCTGATAGTTTCATTTTCAATACAATTGAAGATGTTGCAACGTATGTAATAGAACGCTGCCAGAGATTGCCCAAGGAATCGCGGGGCAGTAGGGAAACATGTTTATTTTATTACGTATTTATATTTATATATATATATATATTTATTTATTTATTTATATATAAATATATATATATATACATACACTGATAATATGACATATCACAGACCCAATATATGTACATACTACTTGTAAATACTGTACACCTACCCTCCCCCCAATGAACATAGACCCTGAAGATAGCAAATTTTTAGCAGAAACTAATCTCCCAACCCCCTATTTGGCAGGGTCTATGTTGATTTACAGGAGGGTAATACGTTTATTTGTACATATCAACAGCCATTTTTCAGGTACCTAAACTGGAGGTACTGTACCACATAAGGCAATATTTGGTGGGAATATTCCCTTACATGGCCCTTACATGCTCCAATTTAGGTACCTTAAATGGCCATTGAACATACCTAGTACATATAAGTTCGTTCATTCTTTCCCTCATTCCTTGCTTTGTTGAATTGATTCGCTCCGTTCACAGATTACTATTGATTGATTTGCAAGGTGATCGATTGCTTCTTGCTTGTTGGCCAGCCGCTAATTTTTGAGCACTTTCGATGAAATGGTTCGTACCCGCTCTATTGCCTTCCTTTATTCATTCACGGGCCTTCCTTTATTCATGGCACAAGACATATGTTCGGCACCCTCACACCCATTGATGTCTCGAATTACCAGATTTAACCATAATGTAAATATTGTATGATATTGGATTTGAGGCATCCTCGAGTCATTGCGCATATACTCTAGATTCTAGATGTCATATGCCAACACGCTGCTGCACCATTCTCCCGCAGGGATGGAAGCAGAGCGCAAGCAGGATGAAACCCAGAAGCGAGAAGCACGCGCGGCACGGGCGGCGGCACGGATGGAGCAGCTGCGGCAGATGTCTGAACGACGAGAAGCGAAATTGATGGCCAGACAGAGACGACAGGCTAGGTCTCATGGGGCCCATGGCATGCCACGGTCATATGGTTGGGCCATATATGGTTTGGTTATGTTGGTTGATGATGTTGATGTTGATGTTGATGATGCAGCTGATGGCTTAGGCCTAGCAATTGCTGTGGATCCAACTAAGGAGGCGCTCCGTCGCAAGAGACTGGCCTATGCAAGAGTCAAACACGGTCCAGGATAGCTTTGTTTCAGCAGAGTTTTGCGGGTTGCATAATTTTAGATTGCGTCCAGCTGCCACCCGTGGCCCTCCATTGTTTGCAGCAATCGCCAAAGTGAGGTAACTTGCGAACTATGATACTGGTGCTGCAGACGCGCTTCCAGAAGATTCGGAGAAAGAAAATGTTGAAAGACTGGGGCGTCCCGGAGCCATGGAAGTGCAACAGTTTGGTGCGAGTGTTTGAACTCTCTTGAGATCCGGAGTAGAAATTCATAGGTTGGTGTAGTGGCGACCCCGGGCTCCTTGATCATGCAGTTATTGGATAGATACTGGCTCAGAGCCACAGAATGAAACTGTTGGCCTTCAACCCGCTACCTACTTGGTGGGATTGCCCCTCAACAATTCTCAGACAGTTTTGTGATCCGAGTTTTGCCTATTCGAAATGTGAAGTCAAGATTTTAAGAGGCTCATATACTGGGCATAGTTCTGTTTTTTTCCCCACCTGCCAGGTGAGGGTTGTTAGATTTTATCTAAGTTGCCTTCTCCTCCTCCTCCTCCTCTCCTCCTCCTCTCCTCCTCCTCTCGTCGTCCTCCTCCTCTCGTTGTCCTCCTCCTCTCGTTGTCCTCCTCGTCTCGTTGTCCTCCTCGTCTCGTTGTCCTCCTCGTCCTCCTGCTCAACTGCGACTCGCGATCCACAGTGTTCGCTGCCGGACCTCAACCACGACCATCCACGCCCAGTGTTCCCTGCCGGACCTCAACCACGACCATCCCCGCCCAGTGTTCCCTGCCGGCCCTCAACCACGACCATCCACGCCCAGTGTTCCCTGCCGGACCTCAACCGCGAGTATCCACGCCAAGTGTTCCCTGCCGGACCTCATGTAGGAAGATAAAATGTCAGATAGAGTGCCAGAAGATTTGCCAGGTAGAATGCCAGAAAATATGCCAGAAGATATGCCAGATAGATATGCCAGAAGATATTTCAGAAGATATGCCACATAGAGTGCCAGAAGATATGCCAGATAGAATGTTAGAAGATATGCCAGATAGAATGCCAGAAGGTATGCCAGATAGAATGCCAGATAGAATGTCAGATAGAATGCCAGAAGATATGCCAGATAAGTGCCAGAATGTTTGCCAGATAGAATGCCAGCAGATTTGCCAGATAATATGCCAGAAGATATGCTAGATAGAATGCCAGATGGAATGCCAGAAGATTTGCCAGATAATATGCCAGAAGATATGCCAGATAGAATGCCAGATGGAATGCCAGAAGATATGCCAGAACATATGCAAGAAGATATGGCAGAAGATATGCCAGAACATCTGCCAGAAGATATGCCAGAACATCTGCCAGAAGATATGCCAGAACATGCCAGAAGATATGCCAGATGCCAGAAATGCCAGAAAATATGTCAGATAGAATGCCAGAAGATTTGCCAGTAACAGAATGTATAAATGTCATGGTGGGGATCACACGAAGTAAAGCATTTTTTTTAAAATAAATACATGAATACACAATAATAAACAAGTAAATAAACAAACAAATAACTAAATAAATAAATAAATAAATATAACATAATATAACTATATATATATATGTAATTGCCATGGGAGTTTACCTGGATGCTGGATGCTGGGCTGGGTTCGTAATTTTTCATTGAGGAAGGATACATGTCTCTAAGGCCTGGCCATGATCACATGAAGTCACTAGCAACATGGTCAAGACCGGTGGTTGATGATTGGGGATTATATTTCCTCAATATATTATGATATAGGATTCTCCACGTCCATGATCTGGCAGCCCCATTCACCAAGGAATTGCCAGAAGGTTTGCAGCTGAACAGTTTTCAATCTGCCGATGATAGCCTTTGCGCGACGCTTCGCTTGTCTGATGGATGCTTGACCGATCGACAGCTGCAAGAGCATCTATCTGTAGTAGTCTAGAGTATTGCTGCTACATGTTCGAATAATACAGATGTATACACCTGTCATAATATAATGTGATGGCTTGGAGTTTTGAAGAGCCTTGTCCATTGCAAACGACCCCGAGAAGGTACCGATGCAGTGGGCCCATACCGCAAGAACTTCCAGGAGGCTCTGCGGGAGCTGCAGGAGCTACGAGCCTTGCAACAACTCCGAGGGGATAAGGTCTTGTGCCAAGTTTCTTGGGCTCAAACTGGGGGTGTCTGGAAATGGGATACGTACACCCCTCCAAGGCAATTTAAAAGGGGAACATCATTACTATCCAGTGGATTTAGATGGGTTTCGGGGTACCTTAGTATTTTCTGCCTTATGTTCAGACAAATGGTTGAACACTCGGGATTGATTCTCTGGTTGGATGTGATTGTCGGTTCCAAACTCGTTTTCTAGAGCAAGGCCGCTGCAAGAAAGGAAAGTGAAACATCCATCATTCTTAGAACTGCCAAGAAAAGATTGGAAACACACTGAGAAACCTGGCAAAACAACTTTCATCTCTTTGGGGATCTCCATGCGCGTGCAGCGCATGGCTGACTGCAGTGCTTTAGGAGATGCAACGCCGGGATCTGGAAGCCATGACTGCCTTCTTCGTACAAAGCATCAGGTGATAGGAACAGCGCCATGGGCCCAGAATTGGATGATGGGAACATCTGCAGGAAAGCAATGCATATAACATACATACATACACACAGACACACATATATATATATATACACATATATACACATATATACATATATATATATACACATATATACACATATATACACATATATACACACATATACACACATATACACACATACATATATACACACCCACGCACGCATATGTGTATATATATATATAATATATATATATATATTATGTGCACATAGTATGTATATGCATATATTTTATGGATTTTGATGGATTTGGGTGGCAAAATTATCGTTTGCCCTTTAACCAATCCAGTGCCCATGGCAATTTTTCCTGGCAATGATGGCGTGAAAGTTGATGTGGAGCAAACTCATGGATGACGCCGTGCTGGCAGCATACCTCTGACAACGATGATATAATGATGAGTCGCAGCCCGGTTGCCGCTAGCTATGCCAAAGATGAGCGATTAAGACAAGATGTCTTTTTCTTTCTGCATGCAGCCGGTGCGGGGTCCAAAAAGTCCTCCATGCATGCCCACCTGTGCAGCTGGGGTTCGCTGAAGTTGAAACTGTTTCTCGTCATGAAGGGATCTTAATGGTTGTGTGGTTGAGCTGACAGCAATGAGACAAATTGATACAAAGCGGGGCAGCACAGCCTGAAACCTGCAGGTCTGGCCTGATGCAGAGCAGCCACCAGCAGCGCCTGAACTTAAAACCCGTGCTGCGCAGCGCGCTCCATGCAGCAGTGAAAGCCAAGCACAACATATCGGCTCGGAAGAATCGAGCAACCTGTCACACCATCCACGGGTTTCGAAAAGACTTTGCCCTGAAAGGGTCCATCAAAGCTAAAGCTGAGTATTCGGAGGGCGTCTGCACATGTCTGCGCTCTGCTTTAACGCTGACATGTTGAAGTCTGCTTATGGCACAGCCGCTGTCGCGACATTGGATTTTAGATTGCAGGGCTGTGTTGATGCATGTTTGTGAGTCTGGAGCCAACATATGCCACCACAACAATACTTACCACATAGTCGCAAGATGCCATTAGTCCGGTCATACCTCCAGTTGCTCACTTAGGCCTCTTAAAGCCCAGTTGGCAGGGGTATATATATATAGATTTCCGCGTTCTGCCATATATGTCAGAGCCAACAGCATAGACACCTAGAAGAAACTTAGAATTCTTCCTGATCTCTAGCTGCCTGGCGGAAAAAAATAGCTGCGCACGCTTGTTGTTGCAGAGACAAAAGGGGGAGCTTCTTTACAGACTCACCCGACATTATCAGACATTAACATACATTAACCGCATTTCACATCTTGTTTCTCGACTTTGGCCATGGCGTCACAAAGCTCCGGCTGGTCATGGAAGAAGTATGAGCGACCTGTGTTGATGCAGGACCCCACTGCACGGTGTTGGTGACACTTGGACTTGAGTGTAAGGTTTCGGATATGTTCACAGTTCACAGCGACTAATGATGACTAATGTCACTAGTGAACTAGTGCCAACCATGGCCTTTATAAACCTCAGCAAATACCCTGGGCCGTGCAGGATGAAATCGAAGAAATCAAGGCAGCCTTCGATTTGTTTGACGTCGATGGCACTCAGCGAATCCATCCTCGTGATCTGCGCATGTGCATACAATCCCTCAACCTGCGACGAAATCAGGCAGGAAGATCGGCTGGACCGATGACTTCACGGCCACATTCTGTCTTAGTCCTTGAGCTTCCAAGCACTGGGTGTTTGCAGTTTGGTCATTAAACATGGCAATGAAACACCCCCCATTTCTAGATGATTTCCCATTAAAACCTACAAGTTTATGATATTTGATGGGGAGATTTCCCATTGCCATGTTGGACGACCCTGGAGGGTTCCAGTCTCTTCGTCACCAGGTGGTGCGGCACATCCTTAATGATTTGGAGCGCTTCGGGGCCAAGCCTATCGACTTCAAGGCCTTTCTAGACATAATGACTGCAAAGATGGGAGAGCGAGACACCAAAGAGGACCGCAAAGACCTCATCAATCATCCCACACGCACACATATGCACACACAAATTTAATTTGTAGTCTTATGATGATTTATGATGTCTTATGGAAGGTAGTTTCACGCAAGTTGAACTTGCTTTCACATGGTGTCGATACAACTGCCCAGCTCTTGATAGACTTGTTCCCTGATGCGCTCCATCACCGACGACCAACGTGGGTAGAAATGATTCTGCAAAAATATCAAGTCACATCGCAAGATTTGTTGTTTCGTGGTGTTTTCCCTGCTCCCAATGGTTTGCCAATTTCATTTCAATAAGCTCAGAGCAGCAGGTGACCAGGTGCCAAATCGGCCCTGTATCTTGACACTCAACTGGGCAAGTCTATCCCTTGCCGGCCGGGCCTTTCAATTTCTACATTGTGATATTAGTTGGACTGAAGGCCAGGCAGACGCAGATTTCGGTGATATTTGTTGTACATTTGTAGCTCATTATAGCACAAACACACACACATTATAAATTATAAATATATATAAATACATGTATAATATAAGATAATATAAGATAATATAAGATAATATAAGCCATCCTACTTTGGTAGCCAGCCAGACCCACCACCATGCTCTCTCGCGATGGTAGGACGTGTCCAAAGTCTTCCGTTTGTTTGACGACGATCGGACTGGCTCCATCAGCCTCAAGAACTTGCAACGGGTGGCCAGGGAACTGGGGGAGTGCCATGGCCTTGATAGCGAGGTGTCTGGCTGGATAGGTGATGGATAGGTGATGCCTTTCCTGAAAAACTGCAGATCTTTCAAGATCTTATTAACGATTGTTCTATTAAGTGTCACCTCTCTTCTTCTCTTTCAAGATCTTTCAAACCATGTAGAACGTGCATCGCATCAAGACATTCTTGTCAAACTACTGGTTGGCATATGCATTTAATATCATTTAATTATGTTTATTGAGTTTATTGTTTCCGCTCATGTTTCCGCCGTCCTGAAGAATTGTCCCCAGGCAACTACCTGTGGAGGCCTTGGAGGAGATGATTGCGCGAGCCGATTCCGATGCAGATGGCAAGGTCACAGAGGATGATTTCTACGTTGCTGGGATCGGTGGCGATGGGATGTTTAGAAAGTTTAGTACTTCAGGATCCTAAGGACACCTGAGGATGATGCCAAGGGCATAAGAAGGAGCTCTGAATACTGAGATGATCCCGAGATTTAGTAACAGTATGCAACAGTAAATGTGCGGGAAAGTACCATTGGAAACTTGGACTTGCTACATACCAGCAGTCCCACACTTTGCCGGCTGGACATGTGTGCTGGGACTCCTGGCTGGCAGATTGCCGCTTCAGACTGTTTTGAGACTTGAGACTGGGCTTCCAGTATATAATAAATAAATAAACAAATATAGAATCATTAATAAAATAACATAAATATATAATAACAATAATAATAATAACAATAATAATAAATGAATAAATGAATAAAAATAAACAAACAAACACATAAATAAATAAATCAATATATTCCAAAATCGATTCATGATTCATTTATGATTCATGATGCTTTTTTGTTGTTTATAACATCTCAATGATCTCACAAAGTTGTCACAATGTTACTAAGGTTCTGATGACTGAGAAGACCTTTCCCTACTGAGCCCAGGACTGCCAAGCGAGATGTTGCGACAAGTTGCATGACGCGCTTCGAAATTGGCCTTCTCAACATGTAGAATATGTAAATTGCATCAAGATATCACAAGATACATCATAATGAATCAAGATGATCCAGAGATGTGGTTTCAACCAAAGTATTTCACTTTGGAGCCACGTCCTGCATCGGCAAAAAATGACTGTGAATCGCAATCCCGGCATCGGTGCGCCCAAGGAGTGACCTTGGGATCTTTGCTTCCCGATCGAATTAGAATGCTCTTGCTGGGAGGCACGACCACTGTGCACCACTCTGCTAAAGTTGCAGCAAAATGGACACTGTGATATGCTGTGGCAGTTTGAAGTGAGCAGGCTGGTGATGATGCATAGAAATAGGAAGACTATGTTCCTGATGCTTTGTGACCCTCCCCAAAATGAATGGCACCTCACTACCGCATGGTTTGCTCTTGATGGGGATGGAAAGTCTTTTGGTTCTGGGATATTCCGGAGAACTCGGTCCGGTGGCAAAGAAAACATGTGAACACTTGTGAAAACTACGGCAATGTTCGGCTCAAGGAAGCTGAGAAGCTCATGATGAACTTGACAAGTGGCTTCAATGTTGACCTTCTCCTCCTTGGCAAACCAGGGGGATCTGCAAGTGATAGAAAATTTGCGATTCTTCTTGACTCTGGGATACTGTATTAAGTTTCTCGTGTCAGGTCCTTTGATTTAAGCCTTAACAATGTTCTCCCTACGATGACATGAATTTTTGATCAACTCATTTCAGAGCTTCAGCCCTGCCCTTGGACTCTGCAGAGTCTTGATGCAGCCTTAGTGGTTTGCGGAGAGTGGACTCCTGGATTGAAGGGCCTACCATAGAGCATGAAACAATATGAAACTGTATGAAACTGTATGAAACTATATGAAACTATATGTATATATATAATACATGAAACCATTTGAAACTGACATGACAAGAGTTAGAGGCTCAATGTGATTGTCTAAGGTGTGTGATGACACGCTGCGATGAGGTTGTCGGAGGGCAGGGCATGGTTGGAACATGGTGGAACCCCAACGTTAATATGTCCATGATCATACTCCTCACAATGGTGGTAAAACAATAATAAACCACCTATTTGGGAATGGTTTATACCACCTATTTATGGTGATTTGGGGGATGGTTTATTATTGTTTTACCCACATTACTCAGTTTGTACTTGTATTCCTTTTCTACATGTGCGCTCCAAATCCCAATGTTGGTAAAGATGCCGGGGGTAGAATGGCATGATGTTGAAAGGCGGATAAAGGCGGCCAGTTCAAATAGCACAGCCAGGATTTCGCTGGGGGAACCTCAAGGCCATGTTTCCCCATGGGCTATGACGCCAAGAACGATGACGTTTTATAGTTTTGCCCTGTGAGTGGTCGGTGCTTGGCGTAGCGCAAGAGTCAGTACTTTTAGACCTCTTAATGCTTGACACTATGTTACAAAACAGACTTGGTTTCTGACCAGTTGGTGCCAATTTTTCCAGTTGGTCCTGGGGGGTCAGGAACATGCACTGGGAGTGACCCTTCTACAGGAAAGGTGTTCTCCAAGAACGGGACTTGGACTCTAATCTGCCGATCTTGTTTCAGCTGCTCCTATAGATTGTGCTTATTTGCCAGTCAATGTGTCAGCCAAGAAGCCAGCCATTGAGAAAGCCGTGCTGCAACCATGGCCCCTTAATGTCATCATTCAGAACGAGTTTTTCAAGCTTTTGCAGCGACGTCCCAACAAGGAACAAGTGATCCTGCTGGCTCAGTCGACTTCAATCCATCAATCCAGGTAG